GAGGCTTATGTACCCCTATGTTCACTGCAGCATTATTCACAATAACTAAGACATGGAAGCAACCCAAGTGCCCATCGACTGATGAATGGATAAAGAAGATGTGGTATATATATACAATTGAATACTACTCAGCCATAAAAAAAGACAAAATCGTCCCATTCACAACAACATGGATGGAACTTGAGGGTATTATGTTAAGTGAGATAATCCAGTGAGAAAAAAGACAAACACTGTATGCTTTCACTCATATGTGGAAGATAAACAAATACACGGACAAAGAGAACAGATTAGTGGTTACCAGAGGAGAAAGGGGTTGGAGGGTAGGCATAAGGGGTAAAGGGGCACATATATATGGTGACTGACAAATAGTAACATACAACTGAAATTTCACAATGTTATAAACTATTATGACACCACTAAAAAACATAGAGAGAGCTTTGTAGAATGTGTTAATAGCTGATATGCCAGCCTCTACACCTTGGTATTCTTTACTGGAGTTTTTCTGGCTATTCTTGGTGTTTTTTCCTTCCTATAAATTTTATAATAAATTTTGCTAGATCCAGAAAAAATATCCTGGTGGGATTCTCATTGTCATTACATTATATTTATAAATTAACTTCAGGAAGATTGACATTTTTATGATTTTATCTCTTCCTAACCAAGAACATGTTATGTTTTTGCATTTATTGAAACGTACTTTTGTGCCTTTTAGATTTTTATAGTTTTTCTTCTTAGGTGTTGGGAATTTCTTATTAAATTTATGCCTAGTTATTTAATTCTCTTTTTCTATTTGGTAAATGGAGTCTTCCGTCACTCCTTCTATAGGTTTTATTTGTGTGCGTGTGCATGCATGTGTGTATATGACACACACATAGACACACACACATATATATAGCTATTATATAAGCATATATATATATATATATATATATACTATTGATTATGTATCTTAATTTTATGCCTGTTTCTTTACTTTTATAATCTGCAGTACTTTTTCCATTGATCCCATGATCTTTTTACCATATTGCACTGGGCGTTATTGGTTTTGCTAGCTATTAGTTTCTTAGATTATAGGTTACTTGGCTGGAAGCCTCCCTGGTTAGAATGAAGCTCCCTGTTGCTCCCTTTTTTTTTCCTTGATGTTCCTCTCACTGCTGCAATCTAGGTCTCAGATTGTTTCCTGAGGCTCTCTTAGACTGTTTGGCTTAGTTTGGCTTCCCCCAGAAGGAGAGCCTGAGATGAAGATTTGGGTACAAGCAGTTTATCTGAGAGGTGGTCCCAGGAAACGCCAGTAGGGGAGTGTGAAAGTGAGAGACGAATACAGATAAAAGGTGCTTTTCTCCAGCAAGTTGCCACCGTGGGCAACTGGAGCTTATGCTCTGGCAGACCATACAGAACCCCCAGAGTTACCCTAACCACAGGGTGAGGAGGCCTGGGGTTGCCTCAGACTTATCCCAACCATGGCTCCAGGAACCCGGAAACTCAGCTACCACATCCCCATCCATTGGGTCAGGAGTGCTTTTAGGGCATTGATGATCACCCAGCCAGTAGAGCAGAGCTGAGATTCAAACCTGGACCCGCCCCTCAGTCTATGTTAAACCAGTAGCCTCGGGGGAGGTTCTGGAGTCAGACTGACTGTGAGTGGATCCTGCTCAGACACTTTGTGGCTAGGAAGGCTTGATTTCCTCATCTATATGTTGGGAATGATAATAATACCCATCTCATAGGGTTGTTGTGTGTGGATGATAGATACAGATGTAGATGTAGATGAAGATATAGACATAGACATAGACATTGATGTAGACATAGATACAGATATAGATACGGATGTAGACACAGATACAGATGTAGACAGATATAGTTGTAGACATAGATACAGAGGTAGACATAGATATAGATGTAGACAAAGATGTAGATAGAGGTGTAGACACAGATGTAGACATAGATACAGATGTAGACATAGATATAGATGAAGACATAGACGTAGGTATAGGTGTAGATATAGATGTAGATGTAGAGACAGATGTAGACATAGATACAGATGTAGACATAGATATAGATGTAGACATAGATGTAGATATGGACATAGATGTAGATGTAGACATGGATGTAGACATAGATACATATGTAGACATAGATACTGATGTAGACAGATACAGACGTAGACTTAGATACAGATGTAGACTGAGATACAGATGTAGATATAGATGTAGACACGCATGTGGCCTGCTCCACCCAGCAGGGCACTAACTGGGAGTTGGTGGCATTAAGTGTCGGCAGGACTTCCCTGCCTCCTCCTTGCAGTCACCATTACCCTCTGTCCTCAACTCTATTCCCATTTCCCTGCTATTCTCAGTGGTGCTCACTTTTGAGCTGTCATGAAAGGCATTAAAGCCCCTGACTGGCCCCTCTAGTGGGGCCTAGCCTACCCCTCCTTCCTCCCAGAGCAGCACTCCAGCCCCTCCCTCGTCCCTCAGATCTCTTCCCGGCAGCTCCACTTTGCTCTTGATTATATTCTGGGATGGCAAAACAGCCTCATTTTCTTTGCATTGCGGGGCACGTGGGTCCTTCTGCAGCCCTCTGGCTTTCCCTTTGCCATTCTTAGGACCTGTGAACTCTGGAGGGAGAGGCCTTCCCCCATCACGCAGAGCAGAGGCAAGTTCTAATAAAATCAAAGTGGTGGATTAAACACCATTAGTGTGCTCATTATTGCAAGTTAAAATGATGATTCCGTTGATTAAGGCCATTTATGTTGGACACTTCTGTTCCCTGTGGGATTATGTCTTGCTAAAAGTGTCGGATGATAGGGCCATCCTCGCATTCTCGGAATGCAGAGGGCAGGCCACCAGAGGAAGACAGGTTTCCTTGGGTGGGTGCAGCTGTGATTCTGACTGTGGACGTGACGGTTTTGGAGAGTCCACTTTCTCTGGGTCATACCAGTTACATTCTGGGGACAGTTGGCCTGAAGATGCTGCTGAGGTTCATTGACCACGTTTAGAAAGGGCAAGTGGATGGAGCAAATCACAGTCCCTGTCTTAGTACACAAGAAGCTGGATTGGATGAATGTTGCCTCTTCTTCAGCAGATGAGTTTTCTGGGGTGACGGGGGTCCTTGCAGCACTCTCATGGGTGTCTTCATTCCTGTTTGGAGAGGGCGAGACAAACGCAGGGCCCGTCTATTTGATCAGATGGATTCCTCTGCTTGTTCCTTAGGCACAGTAGTTGGGCTTCGGAGCCCTTTGAATGGGTCTCTTAGTGGGTGGCGGACCCTCCGCACTCGGAAGATTAGGTACGGTACCTAGAGTAGGCTGAGTGGGAAGAGGCAGCCACTGTTGGCCCCATATTCAAGCCTACCTACCATTTAGAAATGGAAGACAACTGTCAGGTTTTCAATGCAGACTTGTAAGTGTGAGACAGATACGTCAGGTGACAGCGTTGTGACAAGCGTGTGTAGCTGTTTCCCGATTGTTTTAGTCGGCACACCCTCAGGGAGGAAACCAACACTGACACAAACCAATTGCCCCGTGATCGGCAAACAATGAAGTGCTGGGAGTCACTGTTGAAAGTCTATAATTTCCAACGGAATTGCTGTTTAGTCATCACCTTGCTGCTGAATGACACAGCCCAGCTGGGTGGGAACCACAATTAGCTGCTGTCACCCTGGCGTGATTTTTTTTCCACCTACAGACAATGGAATAGTAAGACATCAATAGCCAATGTTCTGTGCCCATTGTTCAAAGGAAAAGAAAAGAATGGGATGGAGGCTCTTTCCCCAGGCCACAGAGAAAACTGGGTGGCTCACTTTCTCACCTCTGCTGTAGCCGAGAAACAGGCCACTTGCATTAGAAGAAGCCACTTCCTTTGCCTTGTTTGTGTGTGGCACTCTCACCTTGGCTGGGAGTGAGATGGAGGGCCTGTGCTGGTCTCCCAGCTGCACAGGAGCAGTTGCTGTTACTTTTTTCTGTGCTGTGCATTCAGGTGCAGAGTGACACGGAGCTGGCCAAGAGGGAGTGAGCCACGTGCTGCAGATTTCAGGGGAGTCTTCCTTGAAGGTTGGATCTGCCCACACCTGCTGAAACTTATTCTGGATGTGGTTCAGCATCACACTCGCGCTCAGCTGCCAGAGTTTAGTTCTTTCTCTCCTTGGTGTTTCCAAACTAAAATATGCGACCTCTGCAACTGTCGAGATGGGCATAAACATCCTCTGCTCTCTGTGGTTGATGCACGATGTCTTTTAGGAAAATTCAAGGCTCTTTGTGTTTGTTTTTTTAAATGGCACAAGAATGGCCATCCCACTCTCAGCATTTAGCAAGCGGGCAACTATTTTCCTAAGATACGGTGGTCCTGGACCGAACAGACAAATTTACCTGGCAGTACTGAGCCCTCTGACAGCTGAAGCCCAAATGGGAAAGAATCAGGCACTTAGCTTGCTTGAGAAGAAGGACCGTAGATGCTCTTTCGTATCTAGCGTAATCTAAATGCAGGCAATGCATCAGGAGCATTTGGCCTCGGCGAATAGTTCTTCCATTGGTCTGTTCTTAACATAGTCATCTAGCGTCTGCGTTAAACTTATTTATTTCCTAATGCTGGGTGATGGATTAAAAGATGTGTAGAAAATCTTTCTACAAGAGATAAGATATTGCAGGCTGCCACAACACCCCCGGCTCTTTTTGCTTTCTCGCTCTGTTTTTTCTGCTTTTCAGTGCAGAGCTCAGGCCCCACATCGTATATCCTGATTAGATGGTGGATATTACTAAGGGGATGTTTTTTAAGCCTATCATTGACACATTTAATTCATTAGGTACCGAATCCACAAGCAAATTTTGGCTGGCCATAAAACATGGTTAATCCAGGGAGCTGCAATAAAAGGTGAAAAATTATGTTCGAGCAAATGTGGAATATTGCTTTTCAGTAGAGACTTTTACTGGTCTACGATATCTTTCTTCATAAATTTTTCTTCTGCTTGGTTCTCTTGGTAATTTAACCATTTGTTGTTTCCAGACCACAGAATGGCTCAATGATACTCTACAACAGGAAGAAAGTGAAATACAGGAAAGATGGGTATTGCTGGAAAAAGAGGAAAGATGGGAAAACGACCAGAGAGGACCACATGAAACTGAAGGTCCAGGGAGTGGAGGTAAAGAGCAGAATAAGGCTCTCTTGTTCCACAAATGTCATTTCTAGGCTGCAATGAGGATGGAATTGCTTTGGAGTCCTTTGATGCCAGTCACCTCTGTCAAAAGTATTTTTGCTTGCCAAGACCATATTTGTTGTTTTTCTTTTTTTCTGCCTTCTTACTCTACAGTCTCCATTAATGTTTTCCGTGAAACTGGATTTAACTGAAGCACTCCTGTTTCTCGGGAGTCATTGGTGTATAGATTGGGATTGGCAAGGTTCCTGCAGAATCATGTGTTGTATTTATCACGGAGGAGCCTCCGGGTGCATTGAGAGTTTGCAGGTGCTAGATAAGAGGGGAGCTGCGTAAGGAATCTCCCTCTCGAGGTGGCTGGGGCCTGCCTCTGCTGGGTGGGTCCCCTGGGAGCTGGCGATCCCTATACAGAGCCTGGCTTCACTCCCTCCACTGACAGCCGCTTTGGTTTCCCTCTGGGTGTTTCAACCTCAGATGTTCAAGACAGATGTTAAAGACAATTAGGTGGGATACCAAGATGTGTGGGATTCTTGCAGGGCTGGAGTGGAGGTGTGTCCTGCAGAAAACATCTTCAGATCTTATGCAAACTTCAGTTTGGGTCGTCGGGGGAAGATGGGGTACAGTTTGGTTTCCTTGCTGTCGTTCTGACCCCACAGGCTCTCACCCTTGGGCAGCCATGGTGACATTCCTCTAGTTCCTCTTTTTTGTCATTTGAGGGTCCGAGGCATGTGTCACAGCGGTACAGGGAGAGCATCTGAATCGTGATGCTTTCTGGGCCTGCTAGTTCGCTAGCACCCACTTCTCTGCATTTCTTGCTGATCCTTGTAAGGGATCTTCCCCGGGATCATGGCGGGTGCTGTCTTGGGCCAGGAGCTAAGAAGCTGGCTTGTGATCCACCTGGCGTTTCAAACTGGTCAAAGAGAGAGGTCCTGGCGTCTGTTGGTGTGTTGGGTCCTCTAGTGTGCCAGGATTGATAGCCAGGACCGTAAGCCCACTTGAGTTCAATGGCTCACCCTCCATGCTGATGTTTTTTGTGACACACTTTATCATTATGACTTTTTCTATATTAATCATGTGCTTTTATGGCTGTTAAAAATAGCATCCAATGACTTTTATTATGTTGTCCCACAGAGAGAGATGATTTTTGTTTTATGTTTTCGGGTTTTTTTTTTAACACCTAATAACAATGCTTTATGATGATGAACAAAGAAAAGCCCTGAAACGAGAAATTCCAGTTCCCCACATTCTCTTGTGTTCAGTGCTTGCAAAGACTGCACGGAACATTAAAATGCAGATCACTCGACTCTGCTGCTCTGGACCCACCTCTCGGCCTGTGACTCGTGATTGTACAAACAGATTAGCCTCTGTTACAGACAGCCCAGGGAGTGGGTGGTGGTTGTCACATGCATCAAGTTGGCTCCGACTCCCAGCGACCCTATGAATGAGTGATGTCCACAATGTCCTGTCCCCAACACCCTCCTCAGCTCCTGTAGACTCGTGCCTATGGCTTCCTTTAAGGAGTCAATCCACCTCATATTTGGTCATCTTCTTTTCCTGCTGCCTTCTACTTTTCCCAGCATTATTGTCTTTTCCAAAGAATCCTGCCTTCTCATGGTGTGCCCAAAGTAGGACAGCCTCAGTTTTATCATTTTTGCCTCCAGCAATAGTTCAGGCTTAATTTGCTCTGGGACCCACTTGTTCGTCTTTCTGGCAGTCCAAGGAGTCCATAGAGCTTTCCTCCAACACCATGTTTCAAATGAATCAATTCTTATCTCCCAGGATGGAGAAATAGGTAGAAAGTGAGGAGAAGTGTGGGTGGGGCCCAAGAATGAGGGGGCTGCTCATGCTGGGAATTCACTCCCAAACCACTGCACACAGCCCCTGTGCCCACAGGCCTCTGGGATATTTCATCTTTAGTGATACATAAATCAGGAACTTCTCATTGTAAGTAACAGCAGGGTGGAATTCTTCCTCAGCAGCAGCACAGAAGCCCGGGGGGGAAAAAGCCGTAGTGTTCATTTTCTTCCCTCATGTTATAAGAATTGTCACTGGGTGGAGTCAGAATTATTTATGGTTATTTTTAGGCCATATTTATGTTTGGAGTTATTTGTGGCTCTCACACTTGCAGTCCAATAGGTAGACACATGTGTGGGGGCAGTCTGGACACTCAGAACACGGAGGAAGGGAATGTGCACGATGGTGAGTGACCTCCATGACTTTCCGGGTGCAAGTGGCAGTGGGGCAGGAGAATCGGGAGGCGGGCTTGGAGAAGCCTTGGCGGGCAACACAAGGGGTGTGCTTTCGGGGTCTTGGAGAGTGAGGCCACCTGAGGTGGGTGCCTGGTGTGGTGGCCTTTCCCATTGAGCTCAAGGAGTTGTCATATTGAGTCGTTCAGCAAACACTGACTCTGTGCAGGGCCCTGTGGTGTCTACAGAGAAAATAGGAGCCATGTTCAGTACCCCGTAGGCTCACAGTCAAGTTGAGGAGATGGCTGAGTCTATACCTCAAAGTCATTAACAGTGCTGAGAAGTACAGAAGCCTAAGCTTCTAGGATAAGTGTTCTGGGATTCAGAGTGAGCAGGGATGATCAGAGAAGCTTGCTAGGTGAGATGGGCTATGAGCTCAGCTCTTCAAGTTGAGTAGGATTTGTATGTAAATAGCTTAACGTTTTTCACTTAGCATTGTGGTCTTAGCTATATGTAGGTCAATACTTAGCTCCTCTCATCCCTTTTATCTGCTCTATAGTATTCCACTGTATAAACTCTTGAGCCATTCCCCAGTCAGTGGACTTCTAGATTTTTTCAAGTTTTTCAACTTTACAATACTTCAGTAAACATTCTTATGCATGTCTGTGCACGTGTGCCACCTAGACCTGGAATTGCTGGGTATAAGGTCTGAGGGTTTTCAGTTTTACTAGACACTGCCGAATTCTGCCAAGTGGCTATACTAATTACACCCTCACCAGCACTGAGAATTAACATTTCTCCCACACCCTCCCACACACCGATGGATGCAAGATGGTACCTCGTTCAATTTGAATTTGAATTTTTCTTAATTATTCGTGGATGAGCACATTTTTGTGTCAATGGAAGTGCTTTGCTGTGCATTGTCTACCATGGGCATGATTTTTAAATAGCCCCAAAGAAAGATTTCTCTGGCAAGAGCAGCCTCACATCTCACCGGCGTTTCTTCTGCATTTGCTCTGATCTGGACCAGTGGCTGGGAAGCCCAGTGGTTGTGCAGGAAACAGTGGGCAGGTAGTCCTTTCTACCTGGGAAATTGCAGTGGGGATGTACATGGGGCTTTACATCTCACAGGAGGAGGGGCTGGTGAGTTTGGACGCTGCTTCCTCCTTCAGTGGATTCAATCAAGTTGTTCCCATTGACTCAGTACCTACATCATGCCAGGCATGGTGCCTGTGCTGCTGGGAGAGGGAGACAGTCCTGCCCAGGGTCTTGGAGCTCTGATTTTCTATCTCCTGAGCAGGTTTCCTCAGTTCAAGGGCATGATAAAGATATTTGGATCTACCGTTTAACATATCACTTGCTATAAGCCTTCCCTCAGGCCAGGAAAACTTCCAGTCCTGTGTCTGGAACTGCTCAGCAGTCTAGCTTCTTTTGTTCTCAGAGGCTAGGGCCCTAGGTACACACGGCCACTCAAAGACATATTGATTTTCTCAGTCAGGCACAGGATGGGGGCAGCCGCTTTTGAAGCTGACGAGCTGTTAGGTCCATGATTAGTTGTCTTGTCTGTAAGCCAAGGAGAAGCTAGTTCAATAGGGTTTCCAGAAGTGACAAAGGTTGTCAGGGAGGAAAGAGAAGGTGGTTGCGATGTCAATGTTTCTCGAGATGAAATCTCAGCAGGCCTGAGGCTGGTCCTGCTCCCTATGCAGCTTTATGCCTCTTATCTGGGCCTGACAGAGTGGAGCAGCTCTGGGGGTGGGAGAGGCCCTGAGAGCAGGGGGCCAGTTCTCAAGTGTCCCCATGCCTCTCGATCCCAAGCCAGGAGGCAGCTGAGCTGAATGAAGTCAGCCTGAGGTGACGTTGTTCTTGAGGCCAAGCTGGAAGAGTACTTTTCAAGTTCACGGTGCTTTTCTCTGGTCCCAGAAGCTTGTGGGGCAGTCTTCTGCCCGGTCTTCACACCTCTCTCCTGAGAGTGCCGGCGTCTCAGAACCCAGGCAGCTCCTGCTGTCTGCCTCCCAACTCCTTCGCCGCTGTGTTCCCACAACAGATCGGGGCCACACACTTAATATAGGGATGGCTGCAGGCTTACGAATCTCCTGTATACCAGGTACACTGTTTTGTTCAATCCTTGTCAAAACATCCATGCAAAGTCCCTGTTATTACACCCATTTCATAGATGAAGAGACTGAGCCTCAGAGAGGGTTTCTCTTGCCCCATATCCCGCAAACCAGTGGGGAGCTAGGACTTGAGCTGCGGTCCACCTGGTTCTAATGCAGAAGCGCTTGCCACGACATTAGCTGCTCCTGGGCATTCTGGTGAGATATGTAGTTTTTCACATACCCTTCACTCATCAGCCAGTTGTCGAATGCTTTCTATCCACCAGCACTGTGATGGGTACTGGAGATGCCGTGAGGTAAACAAGAACACTCCGATCTCACGGGGAGACAAAAGATCAAGCATGCAACCCTAACGCAGGGTCGTGAGGGCTGTGATGGGAAAATGACAAGGCCTCATGTGGAGCACAGGGGAGGGGTACCTAAGGCAGACTTGGGCTTGAGGAGGTGACACGAACATAGGGAACTAGGCACTGATGGGAGCCAGACAGTCACAGGGTATGGATGGGAAATAGCGCTAAGCAGTGACAGAAGCTGTTGCAAAATAGCTAACGTGATTTAAAGCAACAGGTGGCCAGAATTGCGGTGTGTCAGTATCTCTCCCAGCCTCATCAGACCAGATGTTTGCCTCCTGGGGACGAGGCTTTCTCTGCTCTGATCATAAAGCGTGCTTGCCGTGGACGTCCTGCCTTTGGAGCCAGTGGGTGGTCATTGCACAGAGGCTGTTGGCTCAACTGTGGGTAGCACGGACAGACATCCTTCCCCACTGAGCCCATTCCGCGGTGG